ACTTGTGTATCTCCACTAGGTAACAGCACTAAACGCTAGTTTATCACTCTAGGTGTTTATGTGCGACACTGTGAAACCCAGTAAATGACACTCGATATTTTAAGGTGTAATGCATATATCTCAGTGGCCACCGCCTATGTTGATTGTGTGCCCAAATCAGTCGCACATTGGCCTTGTGTGTACAACTGTTAACGTTGACACTCCCCCTCGCACCTCGCACCTCGCCGACCGCGCCCCCAATAACTTACCTCTTATTGGCTTACAACCTCCACCGTCAGTACATGACTTTCTCTTTTAAATTTAATGCTGTGTTGTCCGAAGGTTTCAATGGAAACCAAAGCTCGCTCTACTCGCGTAAGAGAGGTTGGGTTAAATGTTGCATGCATGACATATTTAGTGAAGGAATGCCAGAATAATAATAGTTTTTACTGGTACCAGAGAGTACTGTAGAGAAACGGAATCTTTTCGTGTAGATACAATGTTTCGATATTTGCTCTTGGTTCGTAGTTCTTGCCAAGTCTTTCAAGTCATTGTTCTAGGGGTTTTCACATAATTGCTTTGTGTTGAACGTATGTTCCCGATTTAAGTTACACTATGTTCTATACTACAGTACATTCATCGCCCAACTGTTGACTGTACTGTGGTCCATTGTGCCAGTAGCTCTACTCAGTATTCGTTTGTCACCAGGGTCTGTGCCACTGTTCGTGTAGTGCGAGAGAGATTTGCGTCGGCGTTGTCAGCCAAGTATAAATGCACAATAATTAACACAGCTCGTGTAGCTGTGCCAAGTTATGCGCGCACAGTCGCATCTCCACTCGCTGTCTTCACTTTCGGCACACCGCGGCGCAGTAGTCACTAGGCAGTGTCGCTATATTTGGCCTTGCAGCGGCTGATTAGTCGTGATAAGATAAGCTGAGTCGGCATTACGATAATTACTTGTTTACCTGTCCCCGCACGTCTCGTGCCTCGGTGCCTCATGACGTAGGCCTACCACCTTCCACCTCCAGCGCCGCACTAGCAAACTCACGTGTCTGCTTATCTTAGGTGCACCTCTCCGAATGATAACTAGCATCGGATATCACTTTCACAGATAGAATTGTCTTTCATTTTGACTTGCGGCTAAATCGGCATTTCCGAATTGGTTGGTTTTGTAATTGTTATGCGTATCAACTTTAGATATTTTATACGGTTTGAAAAAAAATCCATGAAGATGTACAATATCTGTTTGTGTGAAATCCATTCACAAACCCACCGAAGGCTGTATATTATACTACACCTGTGTGGCTGTTTAGAGATTCGCAATAATTTCTATTTGTGCCCTACACGTGCCTCAACGTGTGTTGGTAATGGCATTATCCTTGGTGGATTTTACTATTATCTTTTCCTGTGCTACATAGACGTTATATTCTATGTTTAAAATTGATTCTTGTAACAATTTTTAAGTGTAGTATTTCCTCTCGTCCACAGGGGAATACAACTAGTTCCCATCCATATTCCCAATATAACAATTCAATACAATACCACACTAAGACAGATATGTTAGGCTGATAGCTTACTAAACAGTCAACAAACAAACATGGTTTCTTTTGTCGTCACGTGGTTTTGGCACCTCGTAATAACGTCAACAATAAATTCAACTATCTGAACAATAATATCACATATTAGTCAATCGTCCATACTGCTTATCTCAGCAAACATCAGTAAACTGTCGTGTTATTATTTAAATGGCAATCAAGATAACCCAAATGTTCTGTAGAAGTCAATTGGCGTGTTTGTGTTGTAGAATTATCATTTTTAATATAGTTGAATTACTTTGATAAACAAAGCGCCATCGGTTGGTGTTAAGGCATGTTAGTGTGTTTGTAGCTGTACATTATGTGATGTCGGGCCACGCATAGCTCCCTTCTGATGCTTTATTTTATTTCAACGAATGTTTGTGTATGAATGATATTCCCACCAGTACAGAAAGTCAGAAGCCAATACTAGACTCGCGTGTAGTGATAATCACGCTATCTATCTCAATAGTCTCTTATCAGCTTTATACCTCCAGTTTAATCAACCGCTCAACACCTCCCCACCCCCCCACCCCCACAACTCAAGGGGTTATCGATATTCATTTTTACCATTTAAATCAACGTCATCGACATCTTGAGAGGTTTTCGTCCTTCATAATTTCATCACATGATTAACTTGTGGCTTATTGTTGTTTATTTGTCGCTCATGAGTTTGTAGCTTGTTGAACAAATACAGGTGCAACACTTGGCACGAAATGTTGTGGTCAAACGGACTGAGTGTAAATACACTAGTCAATACAAACAATACAATAGCGGCTGAAGTTTCACCGGGTACGACACAGGCTAGAAGGTTGTGTAACGAACGCCTGGTGGGCCGCAGTCTGTAATTGATGGAATTAGAACAATGGTCCAGCACAGGGCAATTTGCGATATTTGAATAATTAATGTAAACGTAGTCTTTTGAGTCGGTTGCCAATTGATGGGTTAATGGTTGGAACACACTGGATACATACAGTGTGTGCCGCCCATCGTAGTGCTATACGGATATCGGTGTATTAATGTAGGCTTTTTAAATATGGCAAATTATACAATTTTTGCTAACCAGTTGTTGATCATCTAGCTAAATTGCAATTATACAGTAAATAACAGACCACATTTCAACCTATAAACAATATTTCAGTTTATCACAATATTCGTAGAACCTCAAAAGCTTGCAATCTGACATAACTCAATATCAGTTTTAAAGACCCCACGATAGTAGGATAGTATCCACTGTAGTAGTGCAAGTCGTCACTTAGTGCGTGTACTGTTGGGAGTAATGGCACAATTAGCCACTATGTAATTGAATTTAAATCATAAAGTAACTCGAAACTACGATTTTGACATTCGCCTCAAGATAATAACTCATAAAAAATTGTTTTTGGTATTTGATTTTGATTAAATTTTTTTTATAAAAAATGTCTGTAAAAATTTAAAATGGAATGCTTTCCAATACAGTAGTAGCAAAAGTATGAACTTCCCCTGTACATACATCCTCAGGCCGGAACTGGCAAGGGCATGAGTAGGCCTATGTAAATGGAAGCTGTATTACTAGTCGCGGCCAGGCAGGTGCTATTTGCGGCTACAAAGATCTACCGTCAAGTCACATGTCTTGGATCGTTGTGTCCGTACCCCCTACCTTTAGATAACTATGCCTACACACTTGGTCGTTGCCTTTCTTGTTTAGTTTGGCAAGGTAAATGTGAGAGTGTCTAAATAACACCTCATTGTATAGTATTTGACTAACTTCATTCACGAAATGACACTTAATCGTTGTTCGTAGTCAACACTGTGTAGTGATAGAGCGTGCTAGGTGTCGGTGGTTGTAGGCAGTGATTACAGAGGCAGTGACAGTGGTGTTAGTTGGGGCCAGGTGTTATGGCGACGTCTGCCAACCACGGCCTCCTTGAGCCCAACCAGAGGTAAACTAGCGGCTATTTATCACCACAGATCAACTTACGTCCAACATCCGCGACATCTTTCATTTGTACTCTTGGACTTCCCTCTGGCCTTCAAGATTAGTTGACTAATATAAAATAAACACTATATTAGGTTTTAAACATCTTTCTTAGTTACCGATCATACCAATTTCGGTACCGGTATGCCAAACATTTCTGCAGAAATCACTTGTCTTCAGCGGCAGCTTGCACATGTTTGTTTAGTACTGTATTTTGAATTAATATTCATTACTTTAAACCAGTTTTAGTTGATAAACTATAAATACTTCAAGCGATTAGTACAAATTCTAGATAACAAGAACACCTTTTAAGCCCATAAGATTAAGCAGGTTGTTTTTTAATTGATTTCACCACTAATAATTGCTTTCATTCACCTTTTTAATCAATAATTTTAACCATGCACTAAGTTTTGTAGAACGATGACATAACATTTAAACAGTTTTTATTTTTTATTTGCTACTCTCAATTGATAGAAAGTCTATGGATCAAAAATTTGTAAATTTAGTTACAGTAATAGCAGTAATAACACACTAATAACTAATTTCTTACAATTCAACAAAAGTAGTATCTAGTCAAGTTAGATTGAGACCTTATCATGATTAGTGGTAGGGGATGTTGTTAAGCACTGTTTCTAATCATCCAGCTAGTGCTAGACCTTGGCAGTCATCAGTTATCACTACTGTATATGACAGCTGTTGACTGTTGTCACACACTGTAGACTCTGGATGTTACATAAGCTGTTTTCACTGAGCCTTGAAGCCAGCTGATCACTACTAGTACAACTACTACCACATCTCTACTCTCTACTACAGTACTTGTACACTTGCAAAATCTTACAAAAACTCTCCACTTGCCCACTCGCTGTCTGATTATTACATAGTATAGTCTAGAAAAACTCCTAATATTGGTGGAAATAATGGATAAAAAAAGTTTCACCAGGAAAAGTTTTACGTATTTTGATAACCCTAACATATTCAAATAAACATATTAAAATAAACATAATAACAATAACCCAATGAATTAATTAATAACAAGTTATACATCAGTATAAAATGCTAGCTATGGAATTTTAACATTTAATATTTTGTAATATTTAAAGATAAACGTGTTCTTAAAAATCACAATTTACACTATTTCTCTAAAGTTAGTGCATAGTTCTACATGTAGGCATAGATTAGGGGATCAAGCCACATGGCGAGATCAGCTGTGATTGTGGATTGTGAGAGAGACTGGACTAATTCTGGCCCAAGTGGGCGGTGTGCTAAATCCTTCTGCTTACAATCTATTCATACTCACACAGGTTCCCCTTCTCTGTAGGTCTCCGACACAATCATGTTGTTTACATCGCATACCATCTACTAACACTCAGGGATAAAAAACACAATATTTAGTGGAAGAGTAAAATCTGTTTGCCATAAAAGTCAGTTGTTGGATGATCAGTTGTGGACGTATCAGTTGTGTGACGTGTGTTGTGTATGATTGTTTGCAGTGGTGTGGAACACAAGGATGAGATATACTCGTCCAGTCAGCTAGAGAACGCTGTAGCAGTCAAGCAGGAGGTGGAGGTGCGCAAGTGTCCAGACCCCGCCACAGCTGAGCAGCTGGTGCGCAAGGTTTTCCCTCCAGCAGCCCCGCTACGCCAGACTGTCACTGCCAAACTGTTTGCTCCTCTCAGCAAAGATACTGTCTCCCATCCCCAGTGTAAGCCGGTTCAGCCTGTGGCCCCGCAGCCCAAGCCCCCCACAGCAGCTCCTACTCGCCCCACTGCTGTAACGTCCAAAGTCTTCTCCAAGATTGCCGATTCTCAGCCTAGGCCACAGACGGCCACTGCCAAGATATTTGCGCCTAGAACTGAAGACATGAACAAGGGATTCCTGATGTTCTCCGATGACGAGTCAGGCTTAACAAGTAAGTTCATTATAACATCCCACATCTAGTGAGAAAGATTATCAGAGAATTTTAATTTATTTAGGGTGCATTTCTTACTCATCACTTCCACCAAAAAAGGTTTTTCACGATTTGTCGAGTTTCTATTAGTTTAATACCAAAGTGTTGAATTCTTTTGTCACTCTAATTTTTCTTCTTAAAATATTTTCTTAAAATAAAATCTAATCGTATACAAGTTTTTTTTTAGCTTATTATCTTAGAGTCCTGTTCTTATAGATATTGTTTCTAAATATGTGCCACATTCTATTGGATATAATAGTAAATACTGTAGTGATTGCTGCTGGCAGGATTCTAATTGGGGAACAATAAAGAATACTTGAATTAGTTTTAGCACATAGTAAATACAATGCAAAACAACATGATAACACTGCAAATGCTGTTATCACTGTATTTGCAGGACAGCACAATTTGTTAATGTATATTGATTGTGCAAAAATAGCTTTTGCCCATAAGATATCTGCCTACCTCAAGCTAACACCAAGTGATTTTACACTGATTGATTCATCAAGACAGATAAATTTATACGACTGTGGGATTTACTAATGTTTTTTTTTTCTAAAAATCTTCTCTATCATCTCATGGATTATTCATCACCAGATTTTCAGATTGTTGAAAAAATTCTGGTTAGAGCTCATTAAGACAAGATCAGTACTAGCATACGTTCAAAAGAATATTTTTGAAAGACAGACTATTGTATAGTATAAACAAGTCAAACATGATAAAAACCCACAAACTCAAGAAAAATCACTCATACTCACAAAGAGAGGTAATACTCTTAACTTTTACACTGACACTGTATTGTTGTGTTGTGTTTTAGTGATGAAGGATGAGCCGGAGGACCTGACTCACCTGGCGCCCACGGCTGGTGACGTATGTGTGCCTCTGGTGGCCAACGGACTGTTCAACGACATGTTGGACCACTTCATGTTGTCAGACAACAATTGCTACGGCCCACTGTTGTCTGAGACGTCCAAGGAGCCTTCCCCTGCCTCCTCTCCGTACTTCTCCTACAGGGACGAACTTTCCTCCGGTTCCCTCTCGCCTCCCTTCACACATGTAAGGAAACTTACTATGACTGGTACAAATAAAAGGTTATTTTACCTTGTTGCTCATGACTGTAGAACTGCAACGGGTCCTCGAGTTTTGTGTTTTATCTTGGCAGACAATAAATGCTACTGAATTAATTCTAACATACCTATTTACCAGGTCAAAAGGAAATAAATAGGAGAGAGAGTTCAAGTGGGAAATCTTTCGGGAGAAAATTAAGTGGTCGTTCAGAAATTTTATAAACAAGAAGATGTTGTTACATATGTTTGAAAATGGATTGTGGCTAGAAAAGGAAACACAATGTAATTCCCATATAACCTTGCTGTCTGGTGGTTCATGTGGCCGATAATGATTGTTAAAGTGACCGTCACATCAGTTAAATATGCAATATCAGACTTATTTACTTGTTTGGAGTCATGAATACAAGTGAAGGTAAAATAAAATTGTATTTGTACAACTAGATTTAAGGAAAAGGACTTGACAAAGAAAAACAAAGGCTCAACAATAAAAAACCTTTCTGTAATTTAAATCTAAATAAATGTTAAAGTTCTGTTGAATCTGTGTCACACTCAAAATGATCCAATGTAAAATTTCAACTAATATCTATGGATTTAGGTTAGAGTATGTTGAAGACTATTTTTACGACCCACAAGTTTTTGCATATGTGTTTACGTACACTAACATGACCAAGATGAAGTTAATTTTAAGATTAGTTGAATGCATTCGGTTGGCAAGTGAGTACACATAGTTGGCAAGTACGATGGATCTGGTGCCAGTTACTGTTAACTAAGTGGCCTTGGTGCCTCATAGAGTGGCAGTTGCCAAACTGTGGCTACATTCACTGGTCACTAGTCACCCATCAACCATCACATGACTGCAGTGAAACCGACAGAATGTCAAATATTAAAATTTAGATGTTATTTCCTCACACAAACAACAATAAAAATAGTTTTTAATACGCTCATTTAGTTTTTTTTTTTTTTTTTTTATATTTGGTTAACTAAATATACTGTAATAACAAAGTCCTCTTTATTCTCAAGTGTTTAACTATCAGACAGTTTTTTTTTACTATACAATATTGATGGTCTTACTTTAAAACTGGCACATTTCGTAGTATAAACAATAGTTTAAAATATCAGTTGTAATGTAGAAGGTAAAACGAAGTTTTCAATTAGTTGGAACTTTCAATTCTTATCGGAGGTAGCCACCATCTATTTGTATTCAAGTAGCATTATAAACCAGGTCTAACTGGTTTTGATAGAGCAACCTAAATAAGCTTTGCAACAGCCAGGCTTTCTTGATCTACTTTTTATTCAATATCTTTTTACGTGTGCACTTCCAAATGTCTTTATGGAAAACGTGGTGTGGTGCAAAGACTTAGTTAGATGTGTGTTTTATTTCTTTAATCTTTACTCCAGTAGTCTTATTCTCCACTAAGCACTCAACACGACTCTTCGTACTGAGCTTTTTCAACAGAACAATTACCTATTTGCATGATGATGTTTATTCTTCATGTTCTTGACTGACATCTGTTGTACAGAGCCCAGGAGAGAGTAGTCTACCATCATTACTGGGGGAGGAGAGTCCACCTCTAGAAGAAGGGACTTCCATGAGCACATTGCTGGGTCTGGACTCTCTAGACTCTGATGATCTCAGTGTCAAAGCTCCGTATATCTCCATGAGTGAAGGAGATGATCTTCCACTGCTCATGTCTCATGATCTGATGTGGGGAGCTTCCACCATACCATCACCCTCGAATCAGGACGGATGGTTAGTATCAACGAGTTGCCTTTTTATTTTGTTTATCATTTGATGCTCATTATGAGTTTGATATCCATTAAAGCCTGTGTGATGTTACAATTGTTCTGTTTCCTGTAAAGGTTTATTTTACAAAATTCATTGTTGTAGCCCCGGAACTGTAATACATATAAAATATTTGGTTTTACAATACCTTTATCAGTTCCAAAAGTAACCTTCGTCAACGTGTAACACGTTGACACGTTGACGAAGGTTACTTTTGGAAATGGTAAAGGTATTGTAAAACCAAATATTTTATTTTACAGTATGTTGTTGATTCTTAGGCTTTATCATGTGGGACATTACAAGTAAGAGATTTAAAGATTGGTTGTGTTATTGGTTTGTAATAGTTTTGAGTTGTTAAGATAACAATTAAAAAATAGTTGATATCAACACAATTAGTGTTTCTTTACATCTTCCCACATTATTGATTCAAAGCTGTAGAAAATGCTTCAATCATAGAAATTGCTTCACTTTACTTCACTTATTCTAAAGAGTATTTCTTGTTGTAGGTCGTCACCACCACCACCTCTAGTTGTGGATAAACCAGATCTGGACTCGAGTCTGGCAAAACTGCTCAGGTCGGAGACATCAAGCTCAATACGAAACTTCTCACAACATTCACCAACAAGCAATACGCAAACGTTTACACCCAAGAAAGGTTAATATTGTCAGTTTTCCGTTTGTTAGTTCTCAATACCAATAAGGACATGTAACCAAAGTTTCACTGCTGCAGTTACAGTTGTACACACTGTAGACTCCCTCTCTTTTAGAACCCTTTGAAATAACAAATGGTTTGGATAAGGTTTTAGTCTCAAGGTGTCTGAACAAGAGGGATTTGTTATAATAGAATGTTATATAGAAAATTCAAGGGTTGAAATATGAAAGGTTTTCCCACCAGGAAGTTTAGATGTTTTATTCGAAATGACTAGCCCTTTTAAGCAGTTTTGAAACATTACCCATTTATAGAGTAGGTTTTAAAATGATCACCTTTTTTACAATTTTACAATTTTGTAGGAACAAAATGGTGGCATATTGAAAATTGTATTCCCTCCTTAAAAAATTATTTTCTTAAGTTATTACCTAATTTCTTTACTGTGTTGTAAAGAACACACACAACACGTCACTCTTGGTTCAACATTAAAAATCATTCTTCAAATTTCAGCTTCAGTTAATCTGCACTTGAGAGGATTTGCTTATGTTTTTGTGGCTGAAGCATTATTCATCGATCAAATAGTTGTTCAACAATAAGAGTCAAAACTGCAACTCAGAAAACAAACCAGTTAGTAATAAATTAAGAAAGTAATTTTTATTGGGAGCAAATTGGTAAAATTTCCCTTATATCACCATTTTGTTTCTAAAAACGTTAGTAAGTCAAAAGTTTTTTAAAGAATATATCTAAAACATTTATATAATTGTGTAAAGTTTCAAAGCCTTTGGTACACAATTCTGGTAAAATAAAATTGAACATCCAAACCTCTTCTTAATATAACCTTTTTTATTTCAACCCTAGAATTTTATTTTATAATACGGTCTTTTATAATACGGTACTTCATAGGCAAGTATAAACCTAAACCTCATTTTGGGACACCCTGTATCCTTATAGCATAAAATGTTCCTTTGTGACCTTTCAAATAGTGATTTGATGTTTTTTAGACCCTCTTCCTAGTCAAGAGATTATATGAGGGATTATATGAGTTTAATTTATTTATATTAAATTTCAATTTTAAGCCACCGCCTGGTACGAAATATTTCATCCAAATTTGTTAATGAAATGGCCTAATTACATTAAAGGTTCAGACCTGTGACTTACCAGTATTCCTATTTAGCTTTGATATCTAGATTGAACTTCATCATACTAAAACCCACTCATCTTGTGACCATAGTGTGATTAATATAACTTCAGTTGTGATACTCTTTACTTATAGCTATATCATGCTATATATATTAATGAATGTTGTGGAATGACATATTTTATGTATGAACCAGGGGAAGGAGGAGGGGAGAGGAGGAAGCGACCAGTGACAGAACCCAGCTCCAACGCCAGAAACACCAACTCCAAGCGGAGCAAACACAGCGCCAGCACAATACCTAGGCCAGGGGTGTTGGACGGTGGGGGGAAACCTCCACCAAACTCTGGCAGTGTACTTATGAACCTTCTAGTTAGTGGGTGCGATGTGAGTGCCGGCTATATCTGCCTCAACGCTCGTAAACCTTACGTGCGGTCCCACCACTCGTACACACAGTCGCCGTGGTCATAGCATTGCCACACAGGGTGCTAACTAACGCTAACCTCTCTTTCTAGTCAGCTGGAGTCAGGAGTTGCATTTATAGAGTTAGATATCTCGTCTACACACATTTGTAGCTTTCTGTGTAGCGTAGCGAGTGTCTCAGGTCGACTTTTAAACCAGAAGTATATTTTTATTGTCATTCTGTAAGATGTTAAAAGATAATACTGTTGTTACATGTTAAATTGTGTACGTTGAAATTTTGAACTATATTTTTATGAAACACCACCTGTGTTTTTAACCCGAGTATTTATGAGATCGTTTACGATCGTGTGCGAAACAATAATAAAAATTGTAGTGTTCAATTATAAGTCTGATTGAAATATTTTTATGACACTTTTCACAGATGTTATAAATGTTGTTACGACACAAATGCATTATATTGGTCGAAGCTGTTCTTGACACGCTTGTGATGGTTAAGGATTGGTGTGCGCAAATAGAGATACTTTATGTCTTGTAGTATTTGTTGTATATATTGAACTGTTATTATGGACAGATTAAATTAATTATTAGTGTTGCATATAGTAAGAGAGATGTATTTCTTTGTTTAACCCTCTCCAGAAACTTCCAGGTTTTCTACCTCGTCTCCCACTGTTTCAGCTTACCTGATATTGTCTACGAATTTGTTCACTCTGTGGAGATTCCTACTCATAAATCATAAAATGTTTATTTTAAACCCACAGCAGTAATTCTTTTAATTTTAGTTTTTAAATAAAACAATAAACTAGCAGGAAACTAATCTATATATAACCATTTGGGTACATTCAGGGAGAGATGTTTACAGAAAAAGCATGGCACTGACACTTTGATAAATCAATAATTCCTTTAGGTAATAATTTCAAAAGTCTGAACGATAATAACTTCTAAACTTGACAGTTGCTTTTTCACAAGATCATTAATTAATACTTTTTGTTTTAAAAGTCATCTTACAAGTTTTACTCTGACTTGGTAAAATAGGTTAAATACCAGATGATTTTCTTTGTTATGTTGAAAATAAATTACTTGAAAGAAACTTAGATTACCTAATGAGACAAATATCATTGCCTTTCCGGCACCTCAACTTTGTTAAATATGCAGAAGCTTATGTAAATCTTCTCTGACTCATCAGCATTAGTTTTAATGGACTCTTATCAATTTCTTCAAGACACTTAGTCGAGGCGTTTAAAACAGAAATTCTCTTTTATCTTTAGGAAGGGAGGGTATTAGTATCTTTTAAAACTCACGTCACCACTCTCTCGGCAACTCGAAGGTATGGGATACAAACTTTTGACAATGGGTGAAAAATGTTTATAAAGCTATAGGATCAACAAAGGTTTCTTGTCAACTTTACAGCTCGGGTTTAGGTTTTGTTTTGTGAAAAATCCTATGAATAGGTAACTTTTGACTCAATTACTGAACTAATTTGTTGATTTCATGAAAATGGAAACCGCATGTTTTGATGATCATAAGAGGGTTGGTCCTAGGTTTGGACTTAATCTCATATTCATATTGATTTATACTGAAATATAAATCTTACAGTTTACATTATATGATTTGTCAATTACAAAGCAAAAATGTGGTTCGGATTCCACTGTAAACTGTAGGTCCCTTGTATGAGCTATAAACAGACACACGTTACGATGGGGTGGGTGACAACAGAGGAAAAAGATTACCTTTCTTGTCCAACAGCAGCCTGCAAAGTGATTAGTGTAGCAATAATTCAGGAATGTTTTTCCATTATTACCTAATACAAAATTAAATTTGTGTCTCTAAATTAGTAAAAATGTTGAATTATTTAATTATTATTAATGACATATTGGATTTACTTTTAAATTAAGTTTACTATTTAAATTTAGGCTCAGGCAACTTGCCATTTTGCAAATTTGACTTCCAGCAACCCTCCTCGGCTGCAACATATGTTGCTCCTAAGGATTAGTTTCCAGAACGCTATACGTTGCCCCATAAATATACGTGATAAATGACGTTGGTCATTAAATATCCTAAGTGAACCAGATTGAGAAAATAGTTTGCTGGCATGTTTCCACAGGACAAATGGTGAATCACGGGGTCTAGGATTATACATGTTAAAAGCTATAGCATTCATGCCTTCAAAGCTATTTTTAAAATTAGAAACTATTCAGTACCTGAAAAATTAACTACTGTACAGCATTTATTAATTCTGAAATGCAGAGAGAAAGTTTAACTGCCACTAAATTAAATTGGATATGATATTGATCCTAATAAAATAATGCAACATCAGAGTAGTATCATCATTCAGTGATAAAAATTAAAAATTTAATTTTGTATAAGTTGCATGGAAATCATGCAGTTAGTAGAATATGACTTGACATCAATTGTTTTCTAAGATAACAACAAATACATAATACAGTGTATTGCTTTTGCTTCATGCTCTCAAAATTACTCATTACATTTCCACCTTTACATTGTATATTCAGTGAGGGTGAGTAAATGACCCAGCCATTGTCTTGTTCTACCCTTGTAAGTAGGGGATTAACTCTTTACACAAGGGCGGACCGAGGTAGGCGCTTATCTAGACGTTCCCTAACAAAATGTATTTATAGCCTCTCATTAGGCTAGCAGTACACTATTGCCGAATGTTTCGCTGAATTTTTGACGAGAACTACGAGCTCACCCAGTACACGCTCGCCGGTGGTTTGAGATACTCTAACTTAAGAAAACATTTAGTACAGAGTTGTTGGCATTAGTAAATGGAGAATATCAATTTATGTTTACTGACGTTGAAAGCCAAGGTAGAATAAGCGATGTTGGTATTCTTCAAAACAGTGTATTGTGGAATAATGTTTTTGAAAATAAAATCAATCGCCTAAAGCCAAAACAGGTATTGCTGTACCGTACTCTATTTTTAAGTGAACTAAGTCTTAACATAACTAAGCCATTCCTGTACGTTCATGAGAGGTCCAACTAAACAAAAATTCAACTAGAGAATATTAAAAATCAAGAATTCTCATAGAAAATACTTTAAAAACTTTTTTAAATACTTTCTTTGTCTACTCCATCAAAATCGCACAAAACTGTATCACTTACTGAACTGGAGACAAGACAATGAACTTGGGTACGAACTGACACTAGTTTGTCTCGCCTTTGCTCGTTTCCTTTGACTCGTCCTAAAAACTGACAAAATTTGGAACACATGAGAACACAAATCTTGGCAAGGCAAACTATCATGAGCGTACACGAGCAGATCGAGTACACTATAGTGCTTTCCTATATTCTGCGATAGTGTGCTGCTAGCATTAGAGCAGGTATCAGACTTAACTCATTGCACAATTAGTTTTTTCCACCTACTAACTAGGATTGCACTAGCTTCACCCCTTGCCCTTGCTATTCAGGCTCAACAATATGGATAAACAAATTACCCTCTTGAAAGGTTGGTTTACTTAATTTTTTTGTTAACGAAAGTTGTCACACACAATTTCTTTTAACCCACATATTCATTATGAACAGACGTTTTCTGCAGAAGGAAATGCGAAGTAGCTCACTAATTTACTTGAGATATATGAACTTTTCATTTTATAGAGCACGCGAAAAGTTTGTTATAAAACATTCCATGTTACAATTGAGTAAGAATCTCAGGATTGACAATTATTGTCATTAGTCAATCTCTATGTAGACCTGGGTTTAAATAAATTAATTAATTAATTAGTCGGAATGATGAATGAAAAACACCGCCTTTTACCTAGCAAGTAGAACTTATCAATGATTTAACCATTGATTTGATTTTTTAAATTTGATTTACAACTCTAATAATAATTTGTTTCTGTACCAGAATTGATAAGTAGTTTCAATAAACAAATCAAGGACAGTAGGTACACTTGATTACAAGTCAGTACTGTCACAAAATTTAATTTAAGGGTTCACATACAACATTTTGAATTAAGTTTCATCCTTTTGTATCTGTCCTTTAATATTGACCACAGGAAATGGTGAAAATTTATGTATTAGATTTGACTATCAATACAATACTACAGTATCCAATAGTCAATGGTATTCGTCCAAGATGTATAATTTTATTTTTTATTTCGAAGTATAGTTTTATATAGTTCAAACGTTTGGGGAGTAGCACAGATATTACATGTTTGACCAGAATTCAAGTTTTATGCTTAAGAGCAAAATATAAATAAGGAGGTGACAAACATAAAGCATACCCTCTTCAGTATTCTGGTAACATAGTTGTTGGACTGAGTCTGCAGTTGACGTAGTCCATTGCTGCAGTTGTGTTGACAAACAAAGCTGTCATACGGAATGAAGACCAGTCACTTACACACAACTACTTTGGTTGTAAAACTTGATGGCTTAGCTTAACATAATATTTGTAAAAGCTGATTTATCATGCCTGATCTATAAAATGATATAATACTGTTACAATGTTTTCCACATACATCAATGACCTCTCATCATAGTAGTAAAGAATCTCACATTTCTGTGTCGACTTTTTGAATCAGAGAAAGAAACCTTAATAAAATCAGTAAAAATATTACTTTATTGGAAATAATCTTTGAATTGTGTATGTCGGCATACCAACATTTTGGTTAGAAATGAAAATCTAAACCTCATCATATAAACCTCAAGGAGTGCAATAGATTCAAATGAAGTATTAAACAATTATAACGATTAAAATGGTGTAGATACCTCCTTTCAAGTAATCCTTAAAACTGCTTACATCAACTACTTTTGGCGCCGAGCTAAATGCCATCTGCAGTACAAGTACATACTATTATAGTTATCAAGACAAAACTCTTTAAGTCAACCCTGTTCCAATTTAAACAACTCTACTTTGGCATACTCTTTTAGGCTGTAGGCTTTGGCACCACCTCAATGGTCCTGTAGGTTGAAATTCAAATTATGTCAATAATTAAATCCCTATTTTA